TGATGTATGAGTGCCACACGAGTTAAGGTAAAAAAGCTTCAATTTTTTGCACCAACCCATATCTGAAGCGGTTGGTGACTGATTGGTTGGTGATGAAAAGTGGCGGCTGATCACTTATGACAACGTCGAGCGGAAACGGTTATGATTGAATCGCTGTGAGCCGGCTGAAACGGTGGCGAAGCCAGGATTGACGGCCAGGAAGGTTTTGCTGTGCGTTTGGTGAGATTAACATCGAATCATATACTATGAGCTGCTCTCTTACGGCAAAACTGTACTGTCAACAATTGAATCAACTAGAGTAAGCATTCGCCCAGAAACGTCCAGCTAGGGGAAGTTCTTATGCCTCTATCTTAAAGTACAGACCTGGCACCAAGTAATTACCATATGTTCCGGTAATGGCGAACGGTTTTTTTGGTGAAAAATTTGCCCCAAGAGAAGCTTGTGAAAATCGGCTGTCTCAATTTTTTGCCAAAAGGGACAAGGATTTTTATAAGGAATTATTAATGAAAAAATTATCTTTATTATGCCTTTATAATGCCACTTTGTAACCAAAAAAAAAAATAAGAAACTGCCCAACGGTCTTCCAAATTTTAGGCAGTTTTTGTTATTTTAAGGTTTATAGGTATTATATTTTCGTACTATCGAAATTATAACTAAGAGAGAAACGAAAGAACATATATAGGTATAACAGTTATATATATATAGACAACTTTCAAATAAAACTCAATTATTATTATCTTATGATTAATAATAATGATGTACAGATTATATGAAACTTATAAATTTTGTGTCTTTATGTAAAATTAGTTTAAATATTTTAAATGTCGAATATTGGCAGTGATTACATAGAATTATGTGGTCTTTGGAGTATGGAGTATATTTCAAATATTATATATTAAAAGTGAATTTATTTCTTAATATCTGTAAACACCTTTAAGACAAATTTTTATTGAATTTATCAATCATTAAAGAGCTCACTTCACACTTTTGGAGTATAATTCAATTTTCAAAAACTTCCGGTTCTAACCGTGAAAGGTTACTAATATTAGCCAATCCGATATGACAACAGAGTGCGTACCTAACATATTTAAAAATAATGGAACACATTTGAATGTTCGTGGACACTGAGCTGTTGACATGTAAGCCATCCATCTTCCTGCTGTCACTCAAAATTCCTAAGAAGGACAAAAATTTGTTTGCTCCTTTTTTACAATCATTTTTTCCTTGTAAAATGTCCATTTAAACAAAGTGTGATTGCGTGTTATGGCTTAAAGATGAAGTGGTGAAAGGAATAACAAACAAAAAAAAAAAATAATAAAAATAAAATAAAATTGTTAAAGTGATAAGTTATAAAAAGACAATAATAATCAAATTGTTAACTTAGGTAACAATAAATAATAAAAATTTGCAAATATTTCCTTTTGAGTGTTCAATGAAAACAAATAAATACAATATCCATATACCATATCCAAATAATTTATTCAAATTCTTCAGTACAAAATATATCGTTACAAAAGAGCCATATTGAAAAGGTAAATCTTCTTACTCGATGAATTTTCCTTCTAGTCCATTTTTAATAGCAGAAATGGACATTAATTAAGTATATAAATCATTTCACACTATTAATAAAATCTTCGAAAAAGAGAAGAAAACCTGGTTTCAGCAGTAGTTTGTCACTTTATGTGTTCATTATGAAGCTTAGCATGTTCTATAATTAATAATTAAATAAAATGTTAAATACATTAAGTTGTTGGGGTTAACTTCACCCCACCTTAAATTTCTTAATACCCTATATACCTGTTAATATTGGATCCGTAGTGTCACAATACCCCATTCTGTGTGCTTCATTGAGCTTTAACGCATAGGATTGCCAGTTTAACGTAACTCGTAGAGCGAAAAAGCTCTATCACAATCACAGACAACAACCATTTACATGTTATTTTAAACAAAGACCGTAATCTTACGGTATTTGTTTTAAACACAGTTCAATCTGAATCACATGTTAACGAAACACAGATAATACATAATTTTTAACTTGTAAATATTAAAAAAATAACTGAAATAATTTCATCAAATGCATTTGACCAAAATATTTAAATAATTCGATAATTGGTATATTTAAATAAACCAGACGCATGCGTGGTGGAACATATGGAATAAAAGTTAAAAAACTTCTGCCAAAGACCGTATTATTATAAAAAGAAATACCGTATAAAAATAACATATTACGGTCTTTGGATACGTTTACAAACTGCAAAAAGTGATCATTGATTTTGGTTGTAGTCTTGGAAAATAAACTACTTGAACTGTACTTTGAGCAGAGAACTCCGACATACAAACATATCTAGGTATAGCTAGGTATAAATAAAATTCTTTAAAAGTCATTAATCACGGGTATACTCAAATGGACAAGTTGGGAGTCATATAATGAAGAATTTCGCTACAAAAAAAATAAAACAAATTATAATAAAGTAATGAACTTCAGCTATATATATTTATATTAGTGACTACAAAAGAAGTTAAAAAAAGGGGAATTCGGTTTTAATTGCTGGACATAACATGTCCAACTCATATCATCAATCTATCAGCGCTACCAATTATAGAAGCGGGAATTGGAATTTACTACGTAAACCCCTTATTATGATGAAATACTACAACAAATATATCCTAATATATAGTTTATTCGAATATTATAATAAATTCAATAAAAAATCATGAAGAAGAATTACTGTAAACCAAATTAAAGACTATGGGTATATAAGGTATTTGCTGTAATATATACGTATGTATTGCAATATATATTTTGATTATATCTGATATTGTAATCAATTTAGATTTTATATTTTTTATATAAATAATTCACCTTCGTTTTCAATACAGTAGACTTAGGAACCTTAGGGAATCACTGGAAACATCATGACAATGTTACTTAATTTACTGTTATTAACCGAACAAAATAATTGAAGGATTGTGTCGTTTATTGAAAGATTTTAGATATTTCTACTTACATCTAGAATTAAAATTAATAAAGAAGTAACATTATCTATCTCTATTAATTAACATAATATGAACCAACTCAATTATTAGTTTCTTGCCTTGTTATTGTTACTCCGCAGATATAAAGAACAATTCTTATGATAATGAAGCTTATATAAGGAATACGGAATTTTATTATTAGTGCCTAGTACTAATAATACATACAAAAAAATATTTAATTGGTGTCCTATAGTAAAATAAGATTCGGTAAAGTAATTCCGACCCTATACTACAATTTATTGATGTAATTGCAGTTAAAGAAATGCCCTGAACTCATGAATGTATTACACTAGATTTTATTTATAATGATAATTAGATTAAAAGAATAATTCAGAATTTATGAGGAGTCACAATGGTTCCGAAGATCACAGAACAAGATCTAGTAAAATTAATAATAATAAAATATATTTATACTAAAGTTATTGTAAAAGGTAATCAAGGATCCAATACGGAATTAAGTGCAATTTTGAATCACAGCGTTGTTCATACACTGACTACTGCAATTCTTTTGAGGGTCTTTTTGGTCATCTGATCATCAGCATCCAAGAAGAGTCCCAATAGCTTCTTAGATCAAAGAGCAAGATCTCTGTGAAATTATTATTAAAGTTAATCAAGGATCCAATAGGGAACAAAAATTTTGAATCTTACTTTAATCTTTCATACAGGATTCTGCAGTTCTTTTGACGGTCCTTCTAATCATCAAAATTCAAGAAGGGTTGCAATAGCTTCTTAAATCACAGAGCAAAATCTCTATTGAATCAAAGATTCAATAGGAAAGTGAAATTTTAAATGTCACTTTAATCTATCATATGTATAGCGTTGTTCCTACACAGGCCACCGAGTTCTTTTGTCGGTCGTTCTGATCATCTTTGGCATTAAGTAAGCCAATATGTGAGCGAAAGTTAGCTTTAGTGTATAGTACCTACATTAATCTTAACTGCCAACTTTATTAGGTCTATTTAACACATCGCTTTTGGTTTATTAGTTTGAATGAATGAAGTCATTTATGTGTGACCTAACTTTAACTTTATAGTTTTGATTAGAAATTATAACAGTAATTATTATATTATTATTGATTTGAAAATTTATCTTTAATTTATGATTTTTTTAAAGAAAATAAGAAGCAAGTGATATGTCAAACTTTCACTTATCAAAACCAGGAATAAAGTGTGAGTGCACTTCTTATAGTTTCAATTCCGAATTCTAATGCCAGTAATTCGTATATATCATACTTATCCATATCTTAATAAGTCCGACAGCTTTATTTAATATTTTATATATTTTATTTTATTATATTATTTTGTGTTTTAATATGTAATTTACAACAATTAATTTAGTATTTTATATATACAAAAAATTTTATAGAATTTCTTAATAAGAAAAATTATGAGAGCGAAAAAAAAAAATAATTTTTATATTTTAAACAAAAAATTAAAAAATAAAAAAAAATTCATCTCCAAATAAAATAATTAAAAAAGATATTTTTATATTTATTGTTATTGATTTTAACATTTCACATATTATTTATTGTAAAAGAGAAATTATATTTTTTTTATTCAAACTTCAGTTTTGCATTTAAGCAAAATTCTAAATCTTAAATGTAAATTAATAATTATTTTCACAAGAGAGTTTCTTATCAATAAAGCACACAAATTTTATATTTTACATCAACTATTATTATTTTTAATTTTTCTTTTATTTTTAATATTAATTATTTTATTTATAGAAGAGTTACCAACATTCAAAATTTATTGAAACTAAGCTGTGAATGGAAAGAGTTTTGATTGGCTTAAATTTCTATAAGAAATGACATTCATAAATTTAACTAAATTTACATTATGCGTAATATTTACTTATTGCATTAATTATTTACAAATAATTATATTATTTTTATATTTAATTTGATTTTTTAAGAAATACAAAATCCTTTTTTATTGACTAAAAACAGTAACACTTTACATTAACTAACTTAGTTGGTAATACTCGGGCGCAAAATCATTTGCGAGATTGCTCAGAAAATTGAAATCAGAAGAACTATTAGAATTCTCGAGACCCGTTAGATTTGTGCCTACACTTGCACTGGCATGATTAATGGGAAAAGCTTGTGCAGTAACCGGCGATCCATTTGCATTTGCGAATGCAACTCCATTGCCGCCGCCTGTCACATTGACATGTGTTGGATGTGAAGTACTCTGCGTTCCACCTGGCAAACTTATATTGTGTGGATGTATGTGCTGGTGTTGATGCTGTGCTGGTATGTGATGGCTTTGTGCAACGTGTGTAGGAGGTGGAGGATGTCCTGGTTGGTGATTGTTTTCATAATAACCATGAGCTCCCGGGAAGTAACCTTCTGAGCTCTCTATTTGCAAACCTAAAGCACTGGCATTGGGTGGTATGTAGGATTCGTTCATACCATGAGGAAAATGTTGTTGCTGCTGTTGTTGCGATTGTTGTTGATGTGGAAAATCATGTGAGTGTTGTTGCTGTTGTTGGAAATTTATGTGGTCGTATTCGTAGTAACCACCGGCCACAGCATCTACAACAGTTATAGATATATATTATATGTTAGTAAGAATTTTTTATATTTATATGTATTATTATATTATATTAATTGTTACGATATGAAATAAATATCGAAACGAATATGGCATCACTGGTGGGATCAGCTGTTAAAAGAAATGCGAGAAGGAAGTGAACGTTACCAGTAATGGACAATAGAAAACGTATGTAAAATTTATACAATTTATATAATTTTATTTATGTATATTTTAGACACTGGTCTTTTTATTTTAGTTTATATACATCGATTGTATTTTTTAATTTTGCTAATAACTATGATTTATATATAATATTTATTAATACTCAAAGCTTCAGTTGTTAAAACAAAGTTCTGTATGATTCTGATGTCGTAGACGTATCGATGTGACATCAAAATTTAGTAGTCAATTATTTTGAAATACTTTCTTCACTACACTTAAATGCTTTGTATTGATTTTACTACAATATTGTCTTAAGTTAGTCAACAACTTTAGCGTTTAAAATCAAAATTAAATCAGTATTAAGACGACTGTGAAATCAGCTCTAAATGTGTTAGACAATATTTTAATAACTGCCAGATTTCCAATAAAATGAATTTGTTTTTAACGTTTTCGAACACTTATTCTATTTAATTCCACAAACACTAATATATGGAACTTAAGGTTGTGTTACTTACTATATTGCACCGGGCCACCTGGTGGTGTTTGTTCAGCGCCATGATAAAATGGTTCTGCGCCATGATTATAAAAGGTTTGTTGTTGTGCTTGCAAATGTTGCGCTGAGTGGTGATTATAATTTTGTCCATGATTTGAGTGGTGATAAGAAGAAGTCTTCGATTGAAATTCGTGGTGAAGTTTGATATTTTGCAGTTCGGTCTGTTGTTTAAGGTGTGCAGCCGCATTTTGAGCATTGCCAGCAATAAATTCACCTTTCGAATTCAAATACTCTCCACTTTGGAGAGCGTGCTGTTGCTGCTGTTGATGTTGTTGTAAATTGTTTTGTATTTGTTGTTGCATTTTGTGTGGCATTGTTTGAGGAGAAAATTCTATATCGTATTTGCCGTAGTATTCCTGTTGTGAATGCAATTGCTGTGGCGGAGGCGCGGGCGGTTGCAAATGCTGTTGTTTCTGATAGTAAGAAGTTGGGAAGTATGCAACGCTGCTGTCAGTCATTGCCGCTGCATTGGAATTGGAATTCTGATAACGCTTCTTATTAGAACCCGTGGAACTGTTACTCTGGTGATGGGAGGGTGTGATGCTTGGTATTGCAACTGGTGGTGATTCATAGGCGTTACCGAAAGGTGAGACTTTTGTGGAAGTAGAGACGGCTTCTTTCTTAATTATCTAAATATAATAATAACAACAAATTATGAAAATTCTTAATTAATTTCTATGAGATCTACTCACATGACTATCATCTTTTTTCTTAACTTTTATTGGACTGTCTTCTATGTCATCGTCGAGGCTTATGCTGGATGCGACACTGGAATCAGCACTAATCACATTTGCGGTTGTCGTAGTTGTGCTGCCAAGTAGATTCGATGATATGCCCGATTCTAGTGTTGAGTTCGGTGTCACTGTAAATAGATTTTGATTAAGTCTCTTACTTTTTTTATATAAAATAAATATTATAAAACAAAAATTTTATAAACTAATAAAATATACTATTAAAAAAGTTGAAGTAGTTCAACTTGAAGTTAATTATTTTCTTAAATTTAATTTGAAACTTACAATTTCCAGCATTTTGATTCTTATTGGTTGCGCTGGGCGTATTATTGTTATGCCCTCGAGAGTTCGACGTTGAGTCCGGTATATCGTCCGAAGGCAGTTCACACCCTTGACACGATTTCTTTGAATTGGAATCTGTTGCAGAGGCAATAAAATAAAAGAAAATAAAAAATTATACTAAAAATCATTAAAAAAGTGCATCAAATATAAAGTTTCTTTGCTAACGCATTTCATAATAACGCATTTGCGAACGGCGGAAAAAAGATGCCACCGTGAAGATGACAAAGACATGTTGGATTGACAATGATTGATCGGCGTGTATTCTTCTATATGTAAACTTTTTCTACGCTTAACGCTAAAAGGTGGTAGGTAGGTGGTAAAAGTTATAAAAGTTACAACAAAAAAAGCTAAAAAAAAAACAAAATGTTTAAGGCAGAAGTAGAAAGTCCAACTGTTGTGAATTTCTTTGTTGCTATTAAGTCAACTTATTTTAATAACAATAATTTAAGTATCACTATTGTCTTTGACTACAAGTCAACAACTACATTTAGGTACATTTATAGACATTAAATATTTATAAAATGTATGTATGTACATAGAGATTCCTACTTTAGGAAGAATATGATTACCTGATAAGTGGTTTGACATTTGGTAAGGACTCTTAGAATAAAAATCTTAACACTCTCTTACTCAAAAATCTGATAAAAAAATATTTTTATCCGGCTAAAATATTGAAAATCTCACACTAGAAAATTTATCTGTCATCAGAAGAATTGCGTATTTATTAAAAGATACTAAAGAGATTCAAAGCAGAATTTACTAAATTATTCAAGTAGAAAACATGTTATGTTCGCAGCATGTCATATAGATGGCGCCGCTAAAGACAAATTCATATTCTATATCGAAAGTGGCAACACTCAAAGGTTGTATATTCAAATTTTATAATAAATTGCCGTTTAGTAGAGAAGTTACAATGGATTTAGTCATTCTACTCATGTAAATTTTATTGAATTTCATCTGTTGATGGAGCATTGCTACTTAATGGAAAGAAGTTAAGATGTTAGTTT